AAAGGAAGCTGTGGGTGCTGGCTGGGGGCTGTGGGGTCTGTCAGCCCCGTCCCATGGGTCGCTCACCGCTGCAGGAACTTGTGGAACACTCGGCGGTAGGCGAAGCCCGCCCGGCGCACACGGATGTTCTCCTTCAGCCCCAGATATTCCACCTGGTGCTTCACCCTGTGGGGTGGGGTGGGGGGACAGCAGGTCAGGAGGAGACCTAAAGATGAACCTAAAAAATCACCTAAAAATGCACCTAAAAATGCACCCGAAGATGAACCTAAAGATGCGCCTAAAAATGAATCTAAAGATGAACCTAAAAATGAACTCAAAGTTGCTCCCAAAGATGAACCCAAAGTTGCACCTGAAAATGCACCCAAAGTTGAACCCAAAGATGCAACTAAAGATGAACCTAAAAATGCACCCAAAGATGAACCCAAAAATGAACCCAAAGGTGAACCCAAAGGTGAGCCCTAAGGTGAACCCAAAGCTGCACCTAAAGATGAACCTAATGATGCTCCCAAAGATGCACCTAAAGATGCACCCAAAGATTCACCTAAAAATGCACCTAAAAATGTACCTAAAAATGTGAAAGATTAATCCAAAGACGCTCCCAAAATTGCACCCAAAGATGCACCTGAAGATGAACCTAAAATATACACTCAAAGATGCACCTAAAGATACTCCCAAAGATGAACCCAAAGGTGAACCCAAAAGTTGCACCCAAAGATTCACTCAAAAATGCACCTGAAGATGAACCTAAAATATGCACCCAAAGATGGACCCAAAGTTATTTCTAAAAATGCACCCAAAGACACACCCAAAGATGCACCCAAAGATGCACCCAAAGTCGCACCTAAAGGTGAACCCAAAGATGAACCCAAAGTTGCCCCTAAAGAGGACAGCATGCTGCCCTGGGTTTGTGGGGAGCTCAGAGGGAGCAGCTCAGGGGTGCAGATTTTGGGGGAGAGCTGKTCCATGGTCCATGGCCAGCCCCGTTCCCTGGGCCCTGGGGGCTCCCCGTTACCTGCTCTCCTCCCAGTCTCGGGGTTTCTTGGTCTCRTTGGGTTTGATGCAGCGGATGTAGTGTGGGGTGCACTTCATCAGGGTGTTCACCAGGTCGTTGGCCTGTTTCTGTGCGAGGATGGAGCTCGGCAG